ATGGTGGGAGGCAGGTTTTTCACTGGTGAAGCAGGAGGTTACATATAAGCAAGGTAAGGTTAGAATAACACATGTGGTAATGAATTAGAGTTGGACACATCATGAAGTCATGTTTAGCTTAATAAAGATACAGTTACATATAGAAATATATATAGATATGTGCATATACACAGGTTAATATGTATACATATATTTCCTTCCTCTGTCAACTGAGAGGGCCTAGAAGCAACAATACTTCAGTACCAACAAGCACACCTATCACCCAGATCTTGGTTTGTAACACCATTCTTCAATAAAAGGTACCAGGGCTCCTTGAGAACTGACTGTTTACAGGACTGGAGCAGAAAATATACAAGATGAACCTTAGAGCATCTTATGTTGCCAGAAAGTAAGAAAGTACACATACAATCATGGAGGTATGTCAAAGAGAAAGGATACAGGAACCAACTTAAAGAGCTCCCAATGGCCAAAGCTGAAACCATTTAGCAATGAAATTTAAGTAGATACGCCACCCGTAAGGAGGTAGAACATAACTCATCACCACTAAGTGTAGGCTGTACATAGTGACGATTTTCCAGAGTATAGTAGGAAAGAGAAGAAGAAAGAGTAACTTCGCAGAAAACACTGCCTCAAGCCAGATAAGCAAGGTTAACATCAACACTGGTAAGTCATACTGGGAGTATACATCCCTAATATGTGATGAGAATGACACTTTACCCCTGTGGTCTTCCTTCCAAAAGCATATTACATTATTGGCCTAACCACAAGAAAAACAACAGATAAATCCCAAAGAACATTCTATAAAAATACCTGACCGTGGCTGGGCACAGTGGTAATCTCAGCACTTTGGAAAGCTGAGGAGGGCGGATTGCTTGGTTCTAGGAGTTCGAGACCAGCCTGGGCACCATGGTAAAACCCCATCTCTACAAAAAGTACAAAAATTAGCAGAGCATGATGGCACCATCTGTGGGCCCAGCTACTCTGGATGTTGAGGTCAGAGGATCACTTGACCCCAGAATGTTGAGGCTGCAGTGAGCTGAGATCGTGCCACTGCACACCAGTCTTGGTGACAGAGGGAAATCCTGTCTCAAAAAAACAAACAAAACCTGACCAGTAATCTTCAAAACTGCCAAGGTCATTAAATACAGGGAAAGTCTGAGAAATTGTCACAACCAAGAGGAGCTAAGGAGACATAATTACTAAATGTAATGCGGTATCGTGGATGGGATCCTGGGATCCTGGGATAGTGAAACAACATTAAGGAAAAACCTGTGGAAACCTGATAAAGTATGGTCTCTGTGATAATGTATCAATATTGGTTTATTAATACTGACAAATGATCACAGGAATGTAAGACGTTAATAACATGGGAAACAGTGTAGGATAGGCAGGAACTCTGCACTATCTTCGCAATGTTTCTGTAAATCTAAACTTTAAAGTCTATTTTTAAAAATTATAACAAATTTATGATCAACTGCATCCCTGGAATTTTATTCAGTGCATCTAGGACACAAAAGATACTTAAAACAGGGTCTTTGCCTTCAAGAAGCTTGTTGTCGCAGTGTGAAGTCAAATGCTCATGAAACTAGTATAAAATACAAAAATAAGAAAAAATTAAATTGAAGAGTAAACATAAAAGTATATTAAGAATATAAAAGTCTAGAATTATCAGGAAAGACTTCGTCAAGGAGATAAAACTTGAGTTTGTACCTTAAAATGTACTTCAGAGTAGCAAAATTAAAAAAAAAAAAAAGATAAAAAAGATAAACTAGCTCACTTACAAGAACAACCAGAAGGATGAAAAAATAAGAAAAAGCTAACAGAAATTACAATGGCTGGGGCATGGTGGCTCATGCTTACAAACCCAGCACTTTTGGAGCCCAAGTCAAGGAGGATCACTTGAGGCCAGGAGTTTGAGACCAGCCTAGGCAACATATGAGACCCCGTCTCTCTCTATAACATCTTTAAAAAAAGAAAAATAAAAACGTTTAGCTCTGCAAAGTGAAGACTTAAATGGGAGACATAACAGCAGTGCTCAAACACTTTAAGGGTCATGTGGCAGAACGAACAGAGTTACATCATATAACCATTTAACTTAGAAGCCAACCTCTGGCAGAATGTGACCAATGCTCAAAGACAGAGAGGGACAGCTGTTCAGTGGAGTCACAACAGGAAATGCCAATATGGAAAGACAGGAAACAGGTGGCTAAGTTCTCTACAACTTTTCAAAGGACAGTATGTATGTGAGCCCAAAGAAGTAAAAATCAGATTCAAATGTTTACTGACTATCTTAAGTGCCAGGCTCTTTCAAATACATTATTTTGTTTAATATTCACAACATATCTATGAGCATGGATTAATGTAATAGAGACAACATAAAAATAGAATTAAACCCTGCATGGAAACAGGAACATATCAAAATTCTACACCATCCCCCACTCTCTGATAGGGACTCCACAGCAGTTTTTAAAAGCCAAATAGTCTGAAGGCCCAGATATCTATATAATAATTTATTTCCTCTTGCTCTTTCCCCCAGTCAAGCTCTGTGGCTCTCAGCCTTTAATATTCGTAAGAATTTTATACAACTATATATACAAAAACATTCATACCATACTTTTTGAGCAATTTATGGAATTCTCAAGGAGAGTGTTCATCTTATGGGATTTTTGTCTCATGCACTAACTTGAGGACCTAACCCTGGGATGAGGTGAAACTCCACTGCAGTCTTACTCCATGGGTACTGTAAGGCAGGATCAGGAAGAGGAGAGAGAAAGGTACTATCTTATTACATGAAGAAGAACATTCTAACAAAGACATAAAGGTAAGAATGACATGCTATGTGGGGAAGTTCAACGCTGGAAAACAAGAGCAGCTCATCCGCACCTGCAGACCTTTGCACTCACGGTTTCATTTACCAGGAAAGCACTCCCATTTTTCAGGTCACAACTCAAATACCTTCTCCTTAGTGAGGCCTCCTCTCACTAAGTAACCCTCCACCCACCTTTCAGTCATTCACTTGTCACATCAGCTTGTTTTATTTTCTTCATAATTCATATTAGGGGTCAGCAAACTTTTTCTATAAAAGGCTAAACTATAATCTATAGGCCAAATCCACCTTGCCCCGTTTTCCATGGCCAAGAATGGTTCTACATTTTTAAATGGCTAGGGAAAAATGTTTTTAAAAACTCATAATATTCTGTGACATGTGAAAATTTTATGAAATTCAAATTTCAGTGTCCCAAGTTTAACTGGAACATAAACATGTTTGTTCATGAACTGTCTGTGGCTGCTTTTGTACTAAAACAGAATTGAGTAGTTGCAAAAGAGATCATATGGCCCAAAAACCCTGATATGTACTGTACTTTCTGGTCCTTTACCAAAAAAAGTTTACTAACCACTGATTTATACCATTATCTGAAATGATCCTATTTGCTTGTTTGTTGTATATTCCTCATTCCCATACATACAGAATAAAGCTTAATTAGGGAACAGGCCTTGTCTGTTTTGTCCCAACAATGTAGCTCAGTACTTAGAAAACATCCTGAAACAAAGTAAGGGCTCAATAAGTATTTGATGAATAAATTAATGAATGGTCCCTAATTGCCACTCTGAGGAGCTTAAACCTAAGTAAGCCCTGAGCCATTATATGTTCTGTACATTTTATGAGAGGCATAAGTAGTCTTGCAGAAAAGGGGAAATACTCTACCATCAAGAAGGACCAAAGTAATGGTGGTTGGTCACCAACTAGTCTAGGGCACTGGGGTTCTTCATCAGATTGTAGACTACAGGTTTCTGTGCTCATAAAAAAGTCCTACTGCAAGGTGTCACAACACTGTCAGCAGTCTGTGCTTCTGTTTACCTTAAGATGCAAATGCTCTGAGAAATCTCATTCTTATACATAGTACACAGCACCTACACCATATCAAATCTTAATCAATGCTCATAATTATAACAGATCTCCATCACATGCTAATGAATTTTTAATGTCTAAAATTTTCCTATGCTGTTGATCAGCAATCTATAAGCAGTTCAAAACTCTTTAGAAATTAAAAGGTTACCACCCACAGACCAGAAGCAGTTTTTTAATCTTTCTACACTAGCCAGAGAGTGGGTGTGTGATTGCAAAAAAAAATACAAGCCAACTGTGTTGGTAGAGGACAAGGTTATTGTTAAGTTAAAATGCCATCTATAAACATCGTTTTGTCACATGACACTAGTAAAACTACCACCTACTCACAATTTGAGTTTCGATCTTCTAATATACAGAGAAAAAAATGTATCTATCTCCTGGAACAAATCAAAATTTTGTTTTATTTTAAAGCAGCTATCTGATATTTAAGCCCTGGATTGATTTTTTTTAAAGAACAGAATAAGCTAATTTAGGAATTCAGACTTTTTATAGAGATGCTTATAGTACAGGTACCTCTGATGGCTAGGCTCTACCCAACACTAACATGTAACGTGTCACAAAAGCCAACGGGCGTTGGGGGGGCCGGGGGTAGCCAAGAGCTCAAGTGAGCTGCTTCACTTAGCAGCAGATTCACCTGGGGATTCCTCACCAAGAATGTTGTTAAGGGACGAACCAAACCAACCACGAATGATACCCCTTCACCGAGGCTGAAAAAGCAGAGATTCGCAAGCTATAAACCGATCTCTGGCCCTTTAGGGAAGGTGCAACTCGCTGCACCCCTTTCCCCTATCCTACAGGGGTTAACAGGGGGCATCCTGAGGCCAAGCCCAGCCAGCTAGCTACTTCTCACATCCCACCTCCCACCATCTATTCTCCCTAGTACGCCGGGCTCCCTCCTCCCCTCGAACGACAGTTCAAAATCAAAACAAAAGGTGCAAAACTGGTTTCAGGTGGAAATGGCTGAGTCCTGGTGGCTAACTTCTGGGACGCCATGGCGATCGAGGGCTCCTAAAACCCCAGACCCCGACGGGAACCGGCTCCTAACAGTCCCTCGGGCCTCGGCCCGACTTCTCACACGCCCCTCCCTCACCTCGGCCCCGGGATGCTGGGAAGGGGACGAGGCGAGGGGCTGGAGGGGGAACCCCAGGTCAAAATGACAGCGGAATGAGCCGGGAAAGGAAAGAAGCCCAGTGGGATGCTGGGGGTCGAGTCCTAGGCCCGGGGCTTCAACCTCGAACGGGGGCGACGGCGGGTCCGAGCCCCGACAGGCCGCGAGCGGGAGGCCAGGCCCGCGTCCGCTGCGCCGCCGGGCCACGCTCCCTCACGATTGTCCCCACCCACCGCGGAGGGCCGTGAGGGGGCCGCGACCGGCGCCAGCGTCCGGGGCGGGGGCGCTCACTCACCGGCGGGGAGGGGAGGAGCAGCCGGCGTCTCCGCCAGCGCCGTCGCTCGAGCTCAAGCGCCAGCTCCTTCCACTGCGGCCGCAGCACCCGGTCCATCCCCCACAACCACCCCCCCTCCCGACCCTCCCCCCGCGCCGCCTCAGCCGCCGCCACCTCAGTCACCGCCACCGCCGCCGCCGCTTTAGCCCCGGCGCGGGAGCGCGAACCGGCGCGAGGGAGCGAGAACGCGCGCGCCCCCTCGGCAGCCGCCACCGCCCACAACCTCCGCCCCCGACCGGCGGCGCACGCGCAAGGGAGCGGGCGGACGGGCGCGCGCACGCCGCAGGGGGTGGGGATGGGCCCTGGAAGGCGTGGCCCCGCCCCTAGCCCGCCTACCCACGCGGTCGCTGGGCTGGGTGAGCTGCGCCGCTGCAGGTAGTGCTGAGTTGCTCCAGGTGATCTCCTCCTGGCAAAAAGCTCTTGGAACCGAGCCACCCTCGCCCTAGGAGCAACGCCTGTGAATAATATGGGGTTTCGTCGGATTTCTGCGCGCCGCTCTGGATCACACGTTTGTTCTCCCTAGTTGAGTCGCAAGGCCTTCCTTCGTTCCACCTAGCAGGCTGCTTGGAAAAGGACAGAGACTGTCATTATTTTGCACCAGGTATTACCACTGAAGGAATCGTAAGCAGCCACCAGCCTATCCCTTTATAATTCCCATTTTCCTAATTTATTTTATTTTTATTACTTATGTAATGAGACTTCTTCCGTGTTCAAGGAGCTGGGAGTACCATATGGGGTCAACGGAGTCCCTGACCTCATGAAGTTTGAGATCTGGTGGAGAAGGAAAACATTCATGGGAGAATCAGACAAAATTAAGTTTTCAGTTAGTAAAAATCTTCTGAGAGGTATATGGTACTGAGAGAATCTTTATGGAGGAATTGATTTAGTTGAGGATGAAGAGGGTAGAATCTGAGAAATTGAGTTGGGAGGAGTTAGTTGCTCCAAGGGGTGAGGTCTTGGCATGGCCAGAATGGAGAGCGCTAAAGAACATTCAATGTGGAGTAGACTGCGAGTGTGGGAAGAGGTAGGCAAGAACAGGTGAGGATTGGGAACTTATTTATTTATTTATTTATTTATTTATTTATTTATTTATTGAGACAGAGTCTTGCGCTGTCACCCAGGTCACCCAGGCTGGAGTGCAATGGCTTGATCTCAGCCCACTGCAACCTCCGCCTCCTGGGTTCAAGCGATTCTCCTGCCTCAGCCTCCCGAGTAGCTGGACTACCGGCGCGCACCACCACACCTGACTAATTTTTGTATTTTTGTTAGAGACAGGGTTTCGCCGCCTTGGCCAGGCTGGTCTGGAACTCCTGACCTTGTGATCCGCCCGCCTTGGCCCCCCAAAGTGCTGGGATTACAGGCGTGAGCCACCGCACCCGGCCGGATTTGGGACTTTAATCTGAATGCTTGAGATAAGCCATTCAGGTATTTTTCAGCAGGGTTGCCGGGGAAAGCACTTGATGATTATGTCTGTTTTTTGTTTTTGAGAAGCAGACTGGAGTGCAGTGGCCGATCTTGGCTCACTGCAACCTCTGCCTCTCAGGTTCAAGTGATTCCCCTGCCTCAGCCTCCTTAGTACCTGGGACTACAGGCGCATGCCACCACACGCAGCTAATTTTTTTTGTATTTTTGGTGGAAACGGAGTTTCACCATGTTGGCCAGGATAGTCTTAATCTCCTGACTTCATGATCCACCCGCTTTGGCCTCCCAAAGTGCTGAGATTACATGCGTGAGCCACCTCACCCCCGGCCCATTATGTCTGTTTTTAAGTACTTAGATAGCAATGTGAAGAGTGGTCTGATGAGAGTCTCAAAGTTGGGGCTGGGAAGCCAGTTAGGAGGCCACTGGCCAGGTAGTCAAGGCAAGGCAGGAGGGTGGTGGCAGAGAAGAGCACTATTTAGTGGTAAAATGACAGGACTTGGCAATGAATTGAATGAGGAGTAAAGGAGACGGAGGTGGCAAGGTTTACTTATATTTGAGGTTGGTGGAGGATGCATTTATAGATTTCAGAAGCACTGAAGGAGCCACGTGAGGTAACTCAAAATGGATGATAAACCTAAATTTAAAAGCTAAAACTATAAAAAAAAATTTAGAAGAAAACATAGAAAAAGTATTTGTGACCTTGGGATAGGCAAAGATTTCTTAGGACACAAAAAGTATGAACCGTAAAAAGTGATTTGTGGCCTGGCTCACACCTGTAATCCCAGCACTTTGGGAGGCCAAGGCAGGCAGAACACTTGAGCTCAGGAGTTCAAGACCAGCCTGGGCAACATGGCAAAATGCTGTCTCTACAAAAAATACAAGTTAGCTGGGCTGTGCCTGTAGTCTCAGCTACCTGTGGGGCTGAGGAAGGAGGATCACTTGAACCTGGGAGGTAGAGGTTACAGTGGGCTGAGATGGTGCCACTGCACTCCAGCCTGGGTGACAGAGTGAGACCCTGTCTCAAAAAAAAAAAAAAAAAAAGCGGTTGATAAGTTGAACTCTATCAAAATTAAAAACTGGTACTCTTTGAGCGACACCATTAAGAAAATGAAAAGGCAAGCCACAGGTGGAGAGTTTGCAATAGAAAGCATTAGACAAAAGTCTTGTATCCAGAATACATGAAGAACTCTTATAAATGAATAATAAACCAGCCCAATAAACCAATGGGCAAAGGCTTTAGTAAATAGTTCACAGGATATAAAAATGGGCTATAAGCAAGGGAGAGATTATCAACATCTTTAGTCAACTAGGGATTTTTCCATTTAAAACCACAACACTCTCATTAGGATAGCTAAAATTTAGACTGATGACCCGGCAATCACACTCCTACACATCTCCTTAACCATACTTGATCTCTAAAGGCTGACAGTAACAGACCAGGGACCCTGTAATCCCAGCACTTTGGGAGGCCAAGGCAAGAGGATCACTTCAGCCCAGGAGTTCAAGACCAGCCTGGGCAACCTAGAGACCTCACCTCTACAAAAAACATTTTTTTAATTAGCCAGTGTGTGGGAGTGTACACCTGTAGTCCTAGCTACTCGGGAACCTGAGGCAGGAGGATCCCTTGAGCCCAGGAGTTCAAGGCTGCAGTGACCTATGATCGCGCCACTGTACTCCAGCCTGGGTAACACAGCAAGACCCTATCTCTTTAAAAAAAATGTTTTTGGCTGGGCGCGGTGGCTCACGCCTGTAATCCCAGCACTTTGGGAGGCCAAGGCGGGTGGATCATGAGGTCAGGAGTTTGAGACCAACCTGGCCAACATGGTGAAACCCTGTCTCTACTAAAAATACAAAAATAACTGGGCGTGGTGGCGTATGCCTCTAATCCCAGCTACTCAGGAAGCTGAGGCAGGAGAATCGCTTGAACCTGGGAGGCAGAGGTTGCAGTGAGCCGAGATCTCACCATTGCACTCCACCCTGGGCGACAGAATGAGACTATGTCTCAAAAAAAAGATAAAAAATAAAAAAATTTAAAGACAATAGCAAAGTCATACTTTCACTTAACATGATATAACTATCCTGCATACTATTGAAAACGTAACAACACTTTTCCCAAGGGGATGCAATATCCTTGAGTGATGTTTCTTCTCCACCTTTGATGTCTTATAACTTAATACTGCAATGTAAAGTTACCTATTATTAATACATCTCCATCCTGTAGTAGCAACTGAATTTCCTGCTTAGTAATCAGAATTAGTCACCTCAGCCAGTAGAGGAACTTCCTACTTTACCTGTTGTTTAGAGGCATGAAAAACCCTAAGTGGCCAGGTGACTGCCTTAACTCCCAATTCAATGGAAATGTTGTTGGGTCTCCTGGTGGAAGCGTTCCTTCTGTTGGAACTAAGACCTCTTAGTTAGAAGAGCTTCTGGCCATTTCTACTTTCAGGCAAAATGAACAACCAAGTACACTGATCAAAGTTCTGCCAACTGGGGGAATTTTTTTTTCACCATTATTCTTCAGGGATGTCCCAGAAAGGGACACTAGTTTTGTTTTCACCTGGTGCCTGCATATTGTGCAAAACCATCATAAACCTCGGCTATAAACCACAACTGAGTTTTCCCTTCTTCAGTCAAGTGGTCGTAAGGAATGCCCCATGAGGCCATAGGTGCAGGCTGGGAGAGAGAAGGTAATGTAGCAGGAGTGGGGGCCATGGACATTTGGGCCACTTCCTCGTGCAACTTACCTATGCCTTCAGGGCCCATTTGAGCCCAGTCTGATATATACCACTTCAATTTGATAATGGAGTGTTGCTGTGAGTGCACAACTTTATAGCTTGGTGGATCAGATAACACTTAGTTCATGATGAGCAGCTCAGGTCACATGGTAACTTGATGACCCACAGTTAACTGTTCAGTCTCTGCTGAGGCCCAGCAAGCCAAACGTTTTTTCTCAAGAGGACAGTACTAATCTGCAGGGCTTTGCTCCAAAATCTTACGGTTCTGCAGCATGATTCACCTACAGTGGCCTGCCAAAGGCTCTAAACAGCATCCCTATCAGCCCCTTGCAGAATGAGACTCTGGGTTTGCTTTCAGAAATCATGGCCCTAAGGGTTCCTTTCAGGACAGATATAGAAGCTTCCAGGCCATCTATGCATAGCTTAAAGCTTTAAACACTTAAAGCTGGGAATTTGAAATCCTGAGCTCATCCTTTTCTTTGCCTACTTTCTTCAGTGCAGTTTTGGCCAATGCTATTCTGTTCCTTAGTTTAACTAAAATATTCTAAGGTAAAAAATACACAGTCACTCATGACCTTGCTTTCTATAGGTGTTTCATTAGGCATATTCAATGCTTTATCATGCCATGGACTCCCAATGCCCTCTTCACCACTGAAAATAGAGTCGCTAGTGCCTTTAAATGTAATCATACAAGAGAACCAATTCAAGAAAATGCAGAACCAATTCAGAAAACTCATCCTCAAGATTCTGTTCCTCTAGAGCCACTGAAAGTGGCACTGAAAGTACCAAATCGGTATCAGTCAGAGTTCCAACAGAGAAGCAGAACCAGTAGGAGATACACAGTGAGAGATTTATTTCAAGGAATTGACTTATGCAGGGGGAGCGGGGCTGATTGGGCAAATTGGAAATCTGTAAGGCAGGCAGGAGAATAGGCTGGAACTTTCAGGCAAGGACTGAAGTCATAGTCCCCAGGCAGAATTTCTTCTTCTTCAACTCTGCTTTTAAAGACTTTCCACTGATTGAATCTGGACCAACCAGATTGCCTAGGATAATCTTTCTTACTTAAAATCAATTTACGATTTTTAGTTACATCCACAAAAACACCTTCAGGCCCAGCATAGTGGCTCATGCCTGTAATCCCAACATTTTGAGAGGCTGAGGCAGGAGGATCACTTGAGCCCAGGAGTTTGGGACAAGCCTGGGCACCATAGTGAGACCTCATCTCTACAAAAATATTTTTAAAAATTAGCAGGGCATGGTGGTATGCCTATAATCCCAGATACTCAGGAGGCTGCGGTGGGAGGATTGCTTGAGTCCAGAAGGTCAAGACTTCAGTGAGCTATGATGGCACCACTGCACTTAGCCTGGGTAACAAAGTGAGACCCTGTTTCAAAACAAAAACTACCTTCATAGCAACTCTCAGATTTGTATTTGATTAAATAACTGGAGACTATAGTTCAGCCAAGTTGATGCCTAAAAATGGCTATCACGTATTCACCCAAGAGAAACTAAAATATACATCTATACTAAGATTTAGAGGATTTTAAAATAAAGTCAAAAATTTTTTTTGTAATTGAGAACAGAGGTTCACTATGTTGCCCAAGCAGGTCTTGCATTCCTAAGCTCAAGCTATCTGGCCACCTTTGCCTCCCTAAGTGCTGGGTTTACAGGTATGAGCCACTGTGCCTGGGTACACCAAGATTTGTACAAGAATATTGACAGTATCTATTCACAGGATCACAAAACCTGAAATGTCTCAAATACCCATCAACAGGTGAATAGATGAACAAAATACATTCAATTAACTCCGCAACCAAATATTCAATTAAATGAACTATCAATCACTCAACAGAGTGCATGAATCTCAAAATTGTTATACTAGGTTGGTGCAAAAGTAATTTCAGTTTTTGCCATTACTCACTGCATTACTTTGGCAAAAAACAAAATTACTTTTGCACCAACCTAATAGCAGCAGAAGCCAAAAACAAAAGAATACATAATGTGTAATCCCATTTACATAAAATTCTAGAAAAATGCTAACTAATCTGTCATGACAGCAAATCAGTGGTTGCCTGGGACCAGATGTAGAGGGAGACATGTGAGAAAAAGGGGCACAAATAAACTTCTGGAGATGATAACAGTGATCTGCAAGTTTTTTTGTTGGTTTGTTTGCAATGGGTTCTCACTCTGTTGCTCAGACTGGAGTGTGGTGGCACTATCACAACACACTGCAGCCTCGACCTCCCAGGCTCAAGCGATCCTCCCACCTCAGCCTCCTAAGTAGCTAGAACTACGGGCATGCACCACCATGCCCAACTAATTTTTAAATTTCTTTTTTTGGGTCTTGCCGTGTTACCCAGGCTGGTCTTGAACTACTCCTGGGCTCAAGTGATCTCCCACCTCAGCCTCCCAAAGTGTTGGAATTATAGACATTAGGCACCACAAGAATGATCTGCATCTTGATTATGGTTGTAGTTGTATGGGTATATACATAACTTAAAACTCATCAAACTATACATTTTAAATAGGTACAGTTGATTGTATGACTAGATATACAGTATATCCTACTAAAGTTGTTATTTTAAAAAAAGAATTCATTAGATGAGATTTAGAGCAGATTAGAAGCAGCAAAATAGTGAATTTATGAACTGGAAAACAGGCAAGTATTCAGATGAAAGCACAGAAAGAAAAGAAAGGAAAGAAAACACAGAAAAGAGCATCAGAGAGAAAGGAGGCACAGTGATAAGTAGTGCTGCAAAACTATAATGTGGGAGAAATGCTGCTGTGCCATTGTTGAAAACATATAAGGCTGGGTGCGGTGGCTCACGCCTGTAATCCTAGCACTTTGGGAGGCTGAGGCAGGTGGATCACCTGAGGTGAGGAGTTCAAGACAAGACTGGCCAACCTGGTAAAACCTCATCTCTACTAAAAGCAAAAAAATTAGCTGGGTGTGGTGGCATGCACCTATAATCCCAGCTACTGGGGAGGCTGAGGCAGGGGAATCACTTGAACCCAGAGGGTGGAGGTTGCAGTGAGCCAAGATCGTGCCACTGCACTCCAGCCTGGGCAAAAGAGCAAAACTCTGTCTCAAAAAAAGAGAAAACATTATATAAATAATTCTGGTTTTGGTGAGGCAATGTCTAGCATTCAGGCACTTAACCAATTAATTTTCAGAGTATAGAAATCAGGGCTGGGTGCAGTGGCTCACACCTGTAATCCCAGCACTTTGGGAGGCCGAGGTGGGTGGATCATGAGGTCAGGAGTTAAGACCGGCCTGACCAAGATGGTGAAACCCCGTCTCTACTAAAAACTACAAAACTTAGCTGGGCTCTGTGGCAGGCACCTGTAATCCCAGCTACCTGGGAGACTGAGGCAGGAGAATCTCTTGAACCCAGGTGGCAGAGGTTGCAGTGAGCTGAGATCACACTACTGCACTCCAGCCTGGACAACAGAGTGAGACTCTGTCTCAAAAAGAAAACAAAAGAAAAAAGAAAGAAAGAAAGAAAGAAAGAAAGAAAGAAAAAAAGAGTATGATGTTAGGAACAGGCCCCCAAATCTGGCCATAAACAAAATCTCTGCAGCACTGTGACGTGTTCATGGTGGCCATGACACCCACACTGAAGGTTGTGGGTTTACCGCAATGACAGCAAGGAGCACCTGGCCCACCCAGGGCAGAAAACCGCTTAAAGGCGTTCCAGAACCACAAACAGTAGCATGAGCAATCTGTGCTTTAAGGACATGTTCCTGCTGCAGATAACTAGCCAGAGCCCATCCCTTTGTTTCAGCCCATCCCCTTCTTTCCCATAAAGAATGCTTTCAGTTAATCTATAATCTATAGAAACAATGCTTATCACTGGCTTGCTGTCAATACATATGTGGGTAAAACTCTGTTCGGGGCTCTCAGCTCTGAAGGCTGTCAGCCCCCTGATTTTCCCACTCCAAACTCTATATTTCTATGTGTGTGTGTGTCTTTAATTCCTCTAGTGCCACTGGGTTAGGGTCTCCACGACTAAGCTGGTCTCAGCAAAGTGGTGTCCATACGTGGGGTTCGAACCGAAGTCAAAGAGTCACTGGAACGACAGTTGGAGAACGTGGAACTAAGCTGGAGGGCACCCGAGTACTCTTAAGCAATCCCCGTGGTGAGTAAGAAGGGGAGCTCGGAAGCATCAGGGTAACAGTGGGACAAGTGTGGGCTCTGATTCGTTCCACCTTGGAACCTTTTCACCCTAATGATGACACGGAAGGAAGGTGTAATGAAGTAACAGAAGACGTGACAGAGCAGGTTTGTTTGCCAGCTAAAGCTAAAGCAGCAAAGGAGGAAGAGGTTCCTCCCTACCCTTCTTCACCCCTTCATTATTTTGAAGAAAAAGTGTCCTGACCCTCCAGATCTTTCTTTTCCGGAGGATACTGGGTGAAAAGTAGTTGCCCCAGTGACTGTTCAAGCAGCACCTCAAGCGACCGCTCTCAGTTCTATTCAGGCAAGAATCCAGCAAGCTGGAAAAGAGGGTAATTTAGAGACTTGGCAGTTCCCTGTTGGAATACACCCCCCAGATCGACAGGGAAATATTATAGCTACATTTGAGCTTTTTCCTTTTAAATTACTCAAAGAATTTAAACAACCTATTAATCAATATGGACCAGGTTCTTCTTTTGTAATGGGACTGTTAAAGAATGTTGCTGTCTCCAGTCAGATGTTGCCAGTGGGGACGATAGGATTACTTCTAGGTAGATCTAGTTTAAGTTTAAAAGGAGTGTGAGTATGTACAGGAGTCATCGATTCAGATTACAATGGGGAAATTCAAATTGTTATATCTACTTCTGTTCCCTGGAAAGCAGAGCCAGGAGAGCATATAGCACAGCTACTGATTGTGCCATATGTGGAAATGGGGAAAAGTGAAATTAAATGAACGAGAGGATTTGGAAGCACAAATAAACAAGGCAAAGCAGCTTATTGGGTGAATCAGATTACTGATAAACATCCTGCCTGTGAAATAACTATTCAGGGAAAGAAATTTAAAGGTTTGGTAGATACAGGAGCGGACATTTCAATCATTTCTCTACAGCACTGGCCATCCACCTGGCCAATTCAACCTGCTCAATTTAACACAGTTGGAGTTGGTAAAGCCCCTGAAGTATATCAAAGTTATATTTTGCATTGTGAAGGGCCCACTGGACAACCTAGGACTATTCAACCAATTGTAACTTCTGTACCTATAAATTTATGGGGGAGAGATTTATTACAACAATGGGGAGCACAAGTTCTAATTCCAGAACAATTATATAACCCTCAAAGTCAACATATGATGCATGAAATGGGGTATGTCCCTGGTATGGGACTAGGAAAAAATTTGCAAGGTTTGAAGGAAACACTTCAAGTGGGAAGACAAAGTTCCTGCCAAGGTTTAGGATATCATTTTTAATTGTGGCCCTTGTTAAGCCTCCAGAACCTATACATTTAAAATGGTTGACAGATAAGCCAATTTGGATAGAATAATGGCCGCTAAGTAAAGAGAAACTGGAGGCTTTAGAGGACTTAAGTTACTGAACAATTAGAAAAAGGACACATAGCACCAACATTTTCCCCTTGGAATTCTCCAGTCTTTGTTATTAAGAAAAAAATCAGGTAAATGGAGAATGTTAACTGACTTAAGAGCCATTGATTCAGTTATATAACCTATGGGAGCATTACAGCCAGGATGGTCTTTTCCTGCTATGATTCCAAAAAATTGGCCTTTAATAGTCATAGATTTAAAAGACTGTTTCTTTACTATCCCCTTAGCTGAGCAAGACTGTGAACAGTTTGCATTTACAATTCCTGCAGTAAACAACCTGCAGCCTGCTAAATGTTTGCATTGGAAAATGTTGCCACAGGACATGTTAAACAGTCCAACAATTTGCCAGACTTACGTAGGGAAATCAATTGAACTTACTCATAAAAAATTTTCACAGTGTTACATTATTCATTATATGGACGATATGCTTTGTGCTGCCCCCACTCGAGAAATATTTCTCCAATGTTACGATCACTTGCAAAACTTGATTTCTTGCGCCAGTTTAATTATAGCTACTTACAAAATTCAGACTACTACTCCTTACTCCTACTTGGGGACCTTAGTAAATGACACTACCATTGTGCCACAGAAAGTAACCATATACGTAGGGATCAATTGAAAATATTAAATGACTTTCAAAAATTACTAGGGGACATTAATTGGATATGACCTCTAGGCATTCCTACCTATGCCATGAGTAATCTATTTTCTGTCCTTAGAGGAGATCCTAGTCTCACTAGCCCTCAAAAATTAACAAAGGAGGCTGAGGCAGAGTTACAGCTGATTGAAAAGCAAGTCCATAAAGCTGAAATAAATAGAATAGATCCAGAGAAGACTCTAGATTCGCTAATCTTTTCAACTCAGCATTCACCTACTGGTGTTATTGTCCAAGAGAAGGACTTAGTAGAATGACTTTTTCTTCCACAAAGTAATTCACAGGCTTTGACCCCTTATTTGGATCAAATCGCTACTCTGGTAGGAAGTGGGAGAACTCAGATTGTTAAATTATATGGATATGATCCTGGAAAAATTATTGTCCCTCTTACAAAGGCACAAATACAGCAAGTCTTTATAAATAATCTTACTTGGCAAACCCATTTAGCTGACTTTGTGGGTATTCTCAATAACCGTTTTCCTAAAACAAAATTATTCTATTTTTGAAATTAACTAATTGGATTCTCCCTAAAATAACTAAATTTAAACCAATTGAAGATGCTGAAAATGTCTTCACAGATGGGTCTAGTAATGGTAAAGCTTCTCTTATTCTGGATCGAAAAGTAAAGTTTTCCAGATGCCCTATACTTCAGCTCAAGAAGTGGAGCTTGTAGCTGTAATTGAGGTATTGACTGCTTTTGATATGCCTATTAATGTGATTTCTGATTCTTCATATGTGGTTCATTCTATACAATTAATTGAAAATGTTCAGTTACGATTTCATACAGAACAACTGGTGACTTTATTTATCCAATTGCAAACAGCAGTTAAGAGTAGAATGCACCCTTTTTACATTACTCATATTAGGGCTCATACACCTCTTCCAGGACCTTTGACTGTAGGGAATCAAATGGCTGATCGCCTAGTTGCTACTGCAATGTCTAATGCCAGACACTTTCACAATTTAACCCATGTTAATGCCTCTAGTCTCAAATGCACATACAGCATTACCTGGAAAGAAGCTAAAGCTATTATCCAGCAATGCCCAACTTGCCAAATGGTGCATTCCTCATCTTTTACAGGGGGAGTTAATCCTCAAGGATTGGAACCTAATTCTCTTTAGCAAATGAATGTCAACCATGTTCCCTCGTTTGGGAGACTAGCTTATGTACATGTATGTGTGGATACCTTTTCTCACTTTGCCTGGGCTACATGCCAATCAGGAGAGTCTTCTGCCTGTGTTAAATGTCACCTTTTGCAGTGTTTTGTGGTGATGGGCATTCCAGCTTCTATTAAAACAGATAATGTCCCAGGCTATACTAGCCAAGCTCTAGCTACATTTTTCTCTATATGGAATATTAAACACATTACTGGCATCCCATATAATTCTCAAGGACAAGCCATAGTGGAAAGAATGAATCTCTCCCTGAAATAGCAGTTGCAAAAGCAAAAAGGGGGAAACAGAGACTATGGGATACCCCATAAGCAAATGAATCTAGCATTATTGACTTTACATTTTTTTAGACTGCCTAAAGATGCTGTCAGCAGCTGAACAGCATCTATAGAAACCAGCTGCAAAGACAGAAGCAGAACAACTGGTTTGGTGGAGAGATCCAATGACAAAAAGTTGGGAAATGGGTAGAATAATAACTTGGGGTAGAGGTTATCCTTGTGTTTCTCCAGGACCGAATCAACAGCTGATTTGGATACCTTCAAGACACCTGAAACCTTACCATGAGCCAGATGCCAAGGAAGAGATTCCAGGAGGATCCCAAGGACTGCCCGGTTGCAGCCGTGTCGAGACTGACACTGAGGAGGACCCCAACTGTCACGAGCAACACCCATCGAAGGCAGCCACCTACCTGAGGACAGATCAAGAAGCTGTCACAGATGTTGGAAGAAAACCTGAGGAAAGTGTGACAACCAGTCACAATAAGTAATTTAATGATAGCAATGGTGGTGATCACCATTGCTGTGAGTATTCCTTCAACAAGGGCTGACACTGAGAACAATTATACTTATTGGGCATATTTATCAATCTTGGTTGGCAATAATGCCTGGATGTAATCACTCTATGACACAGTTACACATATTTTCTAGTCTCAGTATTTACCATAATAAATCTGCTCCTATAATTGAGGCATACCACCCTCAAAAACCTGTTTGTAAACAGAATTGAACCTGGCCAGAAAAACTGAATATACTTGTTGGGGAAGATTGCATTGCAAAACAGGCAGAGGTGCTGCACAACAATTCCTATGGAATCATTGTTGATGGGTCCTCTAAGGGGATGTTTAGCTTGAATTACACCTCTCAGTCAGATTAGCAGCTAGTAACCCATTAAAATACATAAAAACACTTGGAAGCTCTATGATTTCAATGATGATTGTGCTTTTAATCTGCATTATTTGTCTTTGTATAGTCTGCAGATGTGGATCCTGACTCCTGCAAGAAGTAGTTCACCATGATAAAGCCACCTTTGCTGTTATTGTCTTGCAAAAACAAAAGGGGGGAAACATGTTGGGAACAGGCCCCCAAATCTGGCCATAAACTGGCCCCAAAACTGGCCGTAAACAAAATCTCTACAGCACTGTGACATGTTCATGATGGCCATGACATTCACGCTGAAGGTTGTGGGTTTACTGTAATGAGGGCAAGGAACACCTGGGCCACCCAGGGCAGAAAACCGCTTAAGGCGTTCCTAAACCACAAACAATAGCATGAGCAATCTGTGCCTTAAGGACATGTTCCTGCTACAGATAACTAGCCAGAACCTATCCCTTTGTTTCAGCCCATCCCTTTCTTTCCCATAAGGAATGCTTTCAGTTAATCTATAATCTGTAGCAACAATGCTTATCACTGGCTTGCTGTCAGTAAATATGTGTAAAACTCTGTTCGGGGCTCTCAGCTCTAAAGGCTGTCAGCTCCCTGAATTCCCATTCCACACTCTATATTTCTGTGTGTGTGTGTCTTTAATTCTTCTAGCACTGCTGGGTTAGGGTCTCCACGACTGAACTTGTCTCAGCAGTATAGAAATCAGAATATTCATTTGGCAACATTTGGTAACATCAAGGCAGAATATTTATCAGAAATCAAATGTTATCACCAAAAATCTACTATGCTTTGTCATGAGATGCAATACAACACCCATTAATTAAAACATTAACAGATACTATTAAAATACTTTGGGATAAAGTCAGACATGCTAAATGTTACTCATTATTTTAGCCATATTATCTGATTTGAGGCATATAGTGCAGATGATTATGGTTAGAGTTGTGGTTTTCTAAACTCAAATACTTCTATATGTGAACATTTTTGGGAGATTTTTGTCACAACTGGAGAAAGATTATTTTAAATTTTAGTAAACTACTTACAAAAACTGAACTAGACAAAAATAATTCAAAAAGTTAGAAATATGACAACATGGTGCAAATATATGTGGAAAGTGTAACATGACAATAGGAAATCCTTGAATAAAAAATATATGTACCATAAAATATAGAATGATATATTCTATATCAATAATGCTTTTCTAAAGCATTATTATTATTATTATTATTATTATTATTATTAGAGATGAGGGGAAGATCTCACCATGTTGCCTGGGCTGGTCTTGAACGCCTGTCCTCAAGCAGTCTTTCTTCCTCAGCCTCCTGAGTAGCTGGGATTACAGACATATACCACTACGCCCACCTTAAAGCTTGCTTTCTTTCTTGTTTTTTTGTTTTTTTGTTTGTTTGTTTTTTGTTTTTGAGACAGGGTCTTGCTCTGTTGCTCAGGCTGGAGTGAAGTGGCATGATCATGGCTCACTGCAAACTCCACCTCCCAGGTTCAAGCTATCCTCCCACCTCAGCCTTCTGAGTAGCTGGGACTTCAAGCATGCCACCATGACCAGCTAATTTTTGTATTTTTTGTAGAGATGAGGTTTCACCATGTTGCCCAGGCTGGTCTGAAACCCCTGGGCTCAAGCAATCCAATCTGCCTCATTCCCCCAAAGTGCTGGGATTACAGGCATGAGCCACTGCACCCAGCCTAAAGGCATTCTTTAAACATGACAGTGAACAATGCAGTCAAAGTCTCCTTAGACATTACTGAATTTTAAAAATATATTTTAAGAACTATATGGCCAGCGTGTGGTGGCTCACGCCTGTAATCTTAGCACTTTGGGAGGCCAAGGCAGGCAGATCGCAAAGTCAGGAATTTGAGACCAGCCTGGCCAACATGGTGAAACCCCATCTCTACTAAAAATACAAAAATTAACCTGACTGGTGGCGTGCACCTGTAATCCCAGCTACTTGGGAGGCTGAGGCAGGAAAATTGCTTGAACCCAGGAGGCAGAGGTTGCAGTGAGCCGAGATCGTGCCACTGCACTCCAGCCTGAGCAACAGAGCAAGACTCCATTTTGGGGAAAGAAAGAAGAAAAAAAAAAGAAAAAACTATACATCTACCAAAAGCTTCAGTTAAATGTTTAGGTATATTGAAAACACACTAGATATAAATTTGAAACCACTGTTAAACATGTGATGGGAAAATTAGAGTTGAGACTGCCATGCCACTGTCAACTGACCATAGGTTCTTGGGCTCTCAATGAAATAGAAAATTGACATGAGGCCAAAAGAGTTTTCTCAAAACTTCACTGGAGCTTTTATCCAGCCATAAAGAAGGCAGAATGAGAGAGAGAGAGAGAGAATTCCCTGACAGACTCCACCTACAAAAGAGCAGGTAGGACTTTTTTTATTAGACAAAGTACAGAACTGACATCAGGAGTAGAGTGTACACAGGCTGGGCAAGGCAAACGATGTGAGGGGTAGGGTAGCAAGTCAGCATATCTAGTTGTGATGGTTATCTTGAGTAATGGGCCACCTGGTGGTCTGGTCTATGACAACAAGACTATAAATCAATTGTCCAGCAGCATTCCTTTCTGAGGTGGGACACTCTGCAACCTTGGTTATCTCCTAAAGCCAGTTCCTGGAATTCTTTAAGTAAAAAGACTATTAGCAGTGAGGTAGTGGTGTGGGTTTTGTGATCTGTGGGAATGCTCTAATGGGGGTGAGCTAAAGCCAAGCTCTGTCTCTACTGTGTCTCACCAGTAAAAACACAATTACAAACAGCATGCAATGCTCTTTTTTGTGATGATAGTTAATAAAGAATACAGGTTCTAAAATACCAGCCAAAGTTTTACTTTCAAACATATGTCTAAATTTTTATTAGCTTAGTACTGATCTGATATGATGCTTTAAGTAAAATTGATGGTTTAAGCAAAATGACAGAGAAAAATCAAAATGCAATATCAAAAAATTTTAATGTATATAATGCTCTCAAAAACCTCAAAGGGATTAAGAAATTCATTTTTTTTCGTTTTTAAAAATATATATATTTTTTAGGACAAGATCTCAAGCTCTTGGCCGCAAGTAATCCTCCTGCCTGTCCTCCTAAAGTGCTGGGACTATAGGCATGAGCCATTGCTCCTGGCCTAAGACATTCTTTAAAGAAAAGCTAAGTGATAAAGCTTACAAAAAGATAGATTACTGAGTTTAAAATAAATTGCAGAGTCTCTTGACATTCCTTTCAATTTCTCCTGCATAGAGAATATTAGAAAAAGGGGGTTTCAATTGCAAATCCCTCAGCCCATCTATGTTCAAAATTAAATTTTAAATCAATTTCTTTTTTATTCTACATTGGAAACTGCAATGTTACTGTTTTTTCTTTTCTTTTTTTTTTTTTTTTTTTGAATGGAATCTCTCTCTGTCGCCCAGGCTGGAATGCAGTGGTGTGATCTCGGCTTACTGCAACTTCTGCCTCCCAGGTTCAAGCAATTCTCCTGCCTCAGCCTCCCGAGTCTCTGGGATTACAGGGGCCCACCACCACGCCCAGCTAATTTTTGTGCTTTTAGTAGAGATGGGGTTTCACCGTGTTAGCCAGGATGGTCTTGAACTCCTGACCTCAGGTGATCCGCCTGCCTCGGCCTCCCAAAGTGCTGGGATTACAGGCATGAGCCACTGCGACTGGCCAGAAACGGCAGTGTCATTTTAAAAATAAAAGTTTACAACACTGAAAGAAAATTACGCCCTTTTCAGCCTTCTAATCAAGATCCTTACTATTTAAAATGTCCTCCTGGAACAGCAGCATCAGCATCACCTGGGAGTTCTTTAGGGGTGCAGAACCTCAGCCCCACTCCAGATCAACTTAGTCAGAGTCTTCATTTTGACATGACCCCCAGGCAATTCATTTGCATATCACAGTTTGAAAAGCACTGGACTAGATGGCATATGTAACTTGAAGAATTACAGGAAATATGAACTTCAACAGCTATTAAAAACTTATAACTGAAATTGACTAATGAATATTGATGATGATGTTGATGGGAAATGAACATGGAGGAACTAAAAATGTTGTTGTTTGTTAAAATCTGGCATAACTTCTGCTGAAGTATTGCAATGGCTTTGCAGCAATAATTGTATATTTATTTATTTATTTATTTTCATAGAGCCAGCATCTTACTATGTTGCCCAGGCTGGTCTCAAACTCCTGGACTCAAGCAATCCTCCTGCCGCAACCTCCCAAAATGCTGGCATTACAGGTGTGAGCCACTGCAGCAGGCCTGCAGCAATAATTTATCACATTTCCAAATACTTTGTGGCTCTCAGTATGTATTTCACTTTGCTAATATGGGTAAGCAGTAAAGAATGTAGCTTCACAAAATAAAAGTTAGTAGAAATGAATTAAGGTCTAGAGTGACCAAAAAAGACTGTTACATCTAGTAACCATCATATATGGGAGCAAGGAAGCATTGAAACTGCCATAAAGAATTTTATTTCCATGAAAGTAAGACAAATAACTGTTGTATAGAAAACTATCATATACTAGTGACTTTGAATTTCTTGGCTGGGCCCACTGACTCATGCCTGTAATCCCAGCACTTTGGGAAGCTGAGGTGGGCGGATCACTTGAAGTCAGGAGTTCAAGACCAGCCTGGCCAACATGGTGAAACCCTGCCTCTACTAAAAATAGAAA